ATAACCACGGCATATTGCCTCCACCCAAGGACAGCCTGGGTTCCACTGTGATGGGGCGGTAGGCATAGCCCTACACTGCCCAAAGTGGACTAGGTGCCTGGGACCCAAGACACCTCAGAGCCAACACACCCCAGGCCACAGAGCTCTGGGGGCACACCCACTCTCACGCTCCCCAGGCGCGTGGCGGCCCAGCCCTCTGATGACCCACAGCACTCAGCTTCACCTACCCAGCATTCCTCACTCACTGGAGTGAGGAACATCTCCCGGCTATGGCGTTGAAAATCACACAGCACAGCTTCAGGATTGAGGGTCCCCAAGCCTGCCATCTGAGAAAACCCTGGGGACTCCCCATTCCTGGGAAAATGCATATTCCTTTCACTCAGAACTAAAGCATGTGGGGTCAAATCCAAAGGGACATTAGCACTGATTTACAGTGTAGGTGCTGGCTGCTAAAATGAAAATGTACATGAATGTTGGCAGAGATGGTTAAGGCTCCGAAATGTAAAACAAAGAGTTTGATAAGTAATTTACTGAAAATGTCTTTAGTCAACAGTTCCCCAAAACACTAGTTATTAACGTGTAGGAAGCAAGACTGAAGAGAAACAGTCAGGCTGAAGCAAGAAGACAGAGAGTTTTGGAAAGACAGAGACATGGGACTGACAGACTGGTATGTTTTATTTGGTTGGAAACTGAATCAGGAGGAATTTTAGCTGCATGTTAAGAGAACTGGGGAGAAAATCACAATAAATACAAAGTCAATGGAGGAAACATGAAAAGAAAAGAAGCATTTACCCCAGAGAAGGTAAGATGGGGTAGAGGAAGAAAGCAGCTATAACCTACCTTACTTTAGTTCCAAACATAATTATAAGGAATACCAAATAGCACCTCACCTCATATTACAGAATGAGTCTCCCTGCGACCCTGAGTGCTGATTTCTTAGAGTGGTGATGAAGGGAGGCGCTATCATAAATTAAAATTAAATGACAAGAAAAACTAACTGTGCTCACACCATAACATCTCCATGACAACTCAACAGAAATAGAGACCAATTTGTCAGATTCTCTGAAAAAAGGAAGGTCAATCAATTAAGACAAATAGGTGAAGTCAAAATTATGTCATCTATTGGACATTCAAATGTACTTTGTAGTCATCAGACTATAAATAAATAAAGCAATATTTAAATTGGGGCTTTCCTGTTGCAGTTCCTCTTCTTGCCTGTCCCCTCTTCCACAATGACTGCACCCAGTACTCTCAGCAGTCCTGCACCCTGACCCCACGTACACCCTCCCCCTCCCACCTCCCAGCCCAGAGGAAATGCCTACTCAGCCTTCACTTGGGTTAAGGTTTCCCACTCAGCTCAGTCTACCAGGAAACCCAGTACCTATCTCCTCTGTCTGCTCCCCTCCAGGGCCCCAGGAGCAGTGAAAGGGTAGCTCCCTCTCCAGCCTCCACCCCCCGATCTTAGAGCAATGCCCCCCCCCCAGTTCCAGGTAGAAGGTGCTACCTATCAGGTACTGTCCATCCCAATGTCCATACTGCCTCCTTGGTAATGGTGGTATTTCCTGTATTCTAGCTCACCTTCCCCTTCTTGCTCTCATTCTGAGTCATTAGCAGACTTCAAAAATAAACATTAGTGTCTGGGCCATTTTTGATTCGTTAAACCTACCATATACAAACCAAATAGTCTTTGTACTGGTAACTTTGATCGTGGCTAAATGTGTCTATTCTTAGGATTCCAATTCAACTACCGTTAGAGATTTGCTGGACAAAAATTTACATCGTTCATTCTTAAAAACAAACAAAATTCGAATGGCACAAGCTAACATTTTATCAAGCAAAGTCAGAAGCTAAAAGAACATATCTCTCCCTGCTGAGATAATGTCAAAATGAACTTTTCCTTTAAAATCCAGTCAATCTAGATTTTAAAATATCTCACAGTTCCTCAGTAAGAAAACAAAATGAACCAAAGCAAACAAAATTTTCTTTTAACAAGTAAAAAATGGACCAACTTGTTCAAACCGAGGTAGAAAAGTAAGACAGGACATAATTGAGGCAATTTCAATCTTTAAGAGTCTGTCTTTTGATTTCAATTATTATTTTCTTTAATGTCCAATGGGGAGACAATGAGAAACGATTCTCCTCCAGAAGTATAAATTCCTATTTTTTTCTTCACTCATTTACAGTTAAACCAAGTGGAAGAAAGATGTTAAATTTGCAAATGGAGTGGAGGGTGGGAAGGAAGACATGAGTGAGACGAAGTGGAAGAAAATTTATCACGGAGAAGACTGAGATGACAAAGATTGCAGAGCATGCCCACAGGTAGCAAGGAGCCAGAGCGCTGCACTCAGAGAGGAAGTGCTGTTTCTCCAGGAATATGGGCCGTGCCGTGGAAAGGGCCGTGGAAAGGGCCGTGGAAAGGGCAGCTTCCTCGGTAAGCAGAAGCACCACAAGTTTGTCAGATACTTGACCTTCTGGAAGGATCTCACCAGGGATGAAGTATACCAGTCTCACCAGGAGGTTCTATGTTTTAGCCACCATTGCTGAAAATTCAGTGAACTCTTGCTATTTCAGACACTCCTGAAAAGAGGAGAACTGACTAATTACTGAGAAGTGTGAATTATTGGGCATAGAAATGCAATTTGCTTTGAAAAGCAAAGAGTCCCTTAGTCTCTCAGGAGCTCTGAAAAACAAGATTTTTTAAACTAAGTTTTAGTGAACTTCATTTAGTGACAACACCTGCCCTAAAGTAACACACAGCTATTTATAGTCTTTCTTTATTCCACTTAAGAGAGACGATTCCCATGTCAGTGCAGAAATAGTAATTGCTGGTGCAGGATGTGCCCAGATCGTACTGGGGTGGTTTGCAGCACACAGTGTCTGTGAGTATATACGCACAGCTTTCCAAGTTCCAAGGAAATGTCTTTCCCGGTGCTGAAATTGAGATTCTAAATTGGAATTCTAAATTTTGAAAACTCCTGAATTCAAAAAATTCAAAAACATATCCTGATACAAGGGCTTTGAATAATGACTATGGACATTCTATTTACTACATGTTCTGTTTTTGTTTTTTTTTTTTTAAAAAAAAAAAAAAAAAAAAAAACAGGCCCTCCTTGGTGGCGCAGCGGGTTAAAGCACTGCACTAAGAAGCTAAAGCCACTTCCGCTTGACTTCGATCCCCGCCTGCCCCGGAGGTGACCACACTGCGCGACAGACCTCTCCTGACCGGCCTGCTGCTCCCCTCAGCAATGTACTTCGTCGATCTGCCTGTTCTGCTCCCCACTCTGTCTCTGGTGAATCCTATCACCCTCTACATCTCTGGCCTGTACCCCAGTTCTGTATGAATAAATAAATAAATCTTTAAAAAAAAAAACAAAACACAAACAGAAAGTCAGGCCTGTATTCAGAATATTAAATATGATTGTATTCAAAATATTAAATATGCTTGTAAAGAAGGCTAAGAAGAGTTATTTCTAAAATATAAAAGTAGCAACAAAATGATCTTTCTTTCAATTTCACTCCTCAAGAAAGGTAAAGTCCAACTGTATACACCTCAATTTTATCCTAGCTTAAGACATTAAAAATACAAGTATCAAGCCTGGTTATAAAATCCTTCATATATAGAAGCACTCCAAATACAGAGAACACAATTTCTATTTTATTGAAAAATTTCTCCAAATACATTCAAAGTATGTTGTAGCTAGAACAAAATGATTTGAGAAAATAACTTCAATAGCCAAGATTTCTCCCTTAAAACACCAAATCATTTACAAATGGTTACACCATTTAGCTCAAACACAAATACATCTATTCACTATTTGGACTTTTTTAGGGGGAGGGAGATACTCATCAATGAATTTAATTATGTTTCCATTAAAAGGCTGCCTGCATAACAGCAGTGCGTTTGTTCTCATCAAAACAAAAACGAAATCCTTGGATCAATTCCAACTCTTGCAAGAATTCTGCCATTACAGTATTATTATTATTATTTAATACGAAGAATCAGATGTGCCACATCTCTTTAAACCCCACGCTGAAATGTTACAAAGATTTAAGAAAAAGAAAGCTCCAGTCAGCAGTTCTACTTGGCTCAGTAGTATCTCCAGCAAGTCAGGCAAATCCATTAAACTTTTCTCCAACACTGTTTGCAATCTCAAAAAGATTGTAACTCCTGCGATTATCTTTCTAGCTCTTAAACATTCAAAACAACAAAAACACAATATATAGTTGTATAGTTTACTAGTTTGCATGGGTATAGCCTTATTGCCCAACATAATACATATATATGTATGTATTTAATATATATTAAATATATAAACACTATATTGAATGCCTTAAGACATTAAAACATATATATATATATGTATATATATATATATATATATATACATATCAACTGACAATGTACTACATAAAACTTTCCCACTCTCCAACTCACTGTCTAGTTAAGTTACTTTACGATGAGTGGTTCCGACAGTCACTTTTTGTGCAACTGCACTTTATGTACAAAATGAGATGTACATATAAACCTTTGAGAGCATATGAACATTCTACGATAAATACGGTGGAATTTTCCAGATAATTCCTGTAAAGGGCCAAAGCACAATGTTTTCTTTCCAAGACCGAATTTTCTGAGGCCAGCCCCTCCAGGCTGAGATCACCAACCGCTCGATCCCGCGGTTTCTGTGCGCGCTGAAGGAACCTGGCGGCCGGGCGTCCCCGCTCTGCGCGACCGCCGCGGGCCCAGCCCCTCTTCCTTTACGGGAGCTGGACCCCGAGATGGCATTGGGTGTAGGCTAAAAGCTGACAGAACTTATCTGTTTCTATTCGAATAATTTTTATCAACATTTAACCTGGATTTCAAAGGCCCCGCCCGGTGTACCTGCACCGGTGTGCCTGAGCAACCAGAAAAGGGCGAACCCCGCCGCTCCTTCTCTCCTCGCTTTCCCGCCTCGGGGTTCCGCGTCACCGCGGTGAGCTGGAGCGCGCACGGTCACACTTACCTGAGCCAGGTGAAGCAGGGCGGGGCGCGGCGCGGCGAGGCGCGGCGCGGGGCTGGGGGCGCGCGGGACTCCGGAACCTGGGCGCGTCGGCGCTGGCAGCTCCTGGAACTGCCGGCCGCCGGTCCCTACCGTTCCTCCAGCCGCCGGAGTTGCCTCAGTGGCTCTGAGCTTGGCGCTTCCTCATTTTGGGCACTTCCTTAACGCGCCCGGGCAGGCACCCGCACTTCCTCCCAACCGCCGCGCCCCGCGATCCGGCCCGCCCCCAGCCCCCTGCCTCTGTAGCTGTGCGCCCCCTGAAGCTCAAGTGTCCCTGCGCCCCGTTGACTTCTGTGTCTTGACGCTGCAAGGGCCTCTTGCCTGTGTGCCTTGACCCCCCAAAGCCCCGAGTGTCCCCAGCGCCTAAGCTGGCCAGTGATGAGTGGGGGACACAGAAACTAACTTGAAGATGGGGGTGGTAGGCAGGAGGTCATCAGAGGGGCCAGGGAGAAGAGCCCCTGGGGTGTGTGGTCTGCATTCCTCCTTGGCTCAGAAGTCTGGCTAGGGGCCTTCATGTACACAGAACATGAACTTCTCATCATCTCCCCAATCCTAGGGCAAGTGAGGGTTAGTTCCTAGGCAGATTTAGGGACATTTCAGGCAGGGACTTCCAGAGTTACAGAGTCTTCTGAGGTAAGGGCAGTACATTCCAAGAGCTGCTAACTAAAACACACTCCAGAGACTAGGTCAAAAAGCCCAGGAGAACTTTTAAATAAACCAGGGTAGTAACACTTGGGTGACTAAGACAGGGAAGATAAAAACAGAAACCCTAAGGTAAGAGTTAGGAAAATGGGCAGCAGAGGCATACAGCCACCAAGAGCAAGAGCCAGTTGCCAAGTAGGATGAGAAAAAAGATTTAAATAGCCCCTAGAAACCGGCCCATGCTGCTCCTTTCCCCTGCAGGTACGGCCTCCCCAGTCCACAGCCCCAGCACCATTCCTCACATTCCCAGCGGACTTGCCCTCTTTCCCACCTTCCTGATACCAGATTAGTGAGGCTGGCCCTGGGAGAGGCCCCGCACTTCCAGAACCCAGACCCCTCTTTCTTTCTCCCACAATGTGGTCTTTGAGTTGTTTTCCTCCACCCCACACTGCTCCTGACTCTGCCCCCAGGGATGGCTTCTTGTCCCTCCCAGGTATGGCACATTTATGAGTCCTTGCTTCCTTCCTTTACATAAACAGTTCCTTACTTTTCTTGAATAAGGTTTGCTTCTCTCTGCTTATTCTCCAAAAAAAATTCTTCAAATTTCACTCAGTGGGCAAGAACCCGTGGTGACCCAAGGGGTAAAAGAACAGCTTGCACCAGCTTCGCCCCCTGTGCCTGGTCCTTCTGAGGCCCACCAAGCTCGTGTGGGGAAGGCCTTGCAGCTGGGCCTGGTTTGGAGAGAGGCTTCTGTTCACCAGGTGTGTCTTTACCACCAGCCCCTAGTGCCCCTGCCGGCTAAGTGGGCTTTGGAGCTCAGGCAGGTGGTCTTCCGCCTTAGGCTTTTAATTATTACAGGGCTTTCCACAGTGAGTCCACTTGCTTCCTTCTACCCACACCGGTGCTGATGTCGATACCTAAATAAAGTTAAATTGGCTCCTTTTCTATGGGCCTGAAAAATAAAACACCTTCCTGAGTCCCTTTTCCCACCGACTCCTCTTTTTCTCGCTTCTATGCAACCCTTATTGAAATTTTGCCATGAAACTGTTTCCAGACCTTGACTGTATGAGTAACTAGTCAGCAGTGCCTGCTTCTAAGAGGCTGTACCCTGAGCCAAAATAAAACACTGTGTAAGATTATAATTGCCATAGACTAAAACAAGGTGAGGGGGAAGGGCTCGCTTTTCTACTTGGACCTTCCCTTCCATTCAGTAATTTTTTTTCAGTATTTTTTTAACCCAAACAAAGTATTTTTATTTGGCATGTATCTGTTGACTACCAAACTTAATTTTTCTTAAATAGCCAAAGAAATAACCATTCTATAAGCAGAAGCTGCAGGAGATTTATTTATTTATGCATACAATTGGGGTACAGGACAGAGGTGTAGAGGGGATGAGAGGGTTCACCAGAGACAGAATGGGGAGCAGAACAGGCAGATGGACTGAAATACACTGCTGAGGGGAGCAGTGGGTGAGACAGGAGAGGTCTGCTGCGCCATGTGGGTCAGTGACCTGGCTGAGATTGAACTCAAACCGTAGCATTAGTGGTGCTGAAAGTCAACCCCCCAGGCCACCAAGGAAGCCCAGTATGCTTGTAATTATTTTTTAAATTATTAAAATTGTCACACAAATGCCTTGGGAGGAAAAAGAAAAAAAGAAAAACTTACCAAAAGTTGAAACTTTACTCCAGCCTTTTTTCCTTCTCCCAGACTTTGTTTATTATCTTGCATTTGAATCAGATGAATGCTCTATGTTCTCACTTGTATGTGGGATAAAGCCAACAGAAAATGAGAGCAGCCTTCTGCTTGGGAGTGAGGGTGGGAGGTTGGGAGGAACTTCCAGTTATAAGACCAGTAAACCCCAGGGGTGTAATGTACAGTATGATGACAACAGCTAACACAGCTGTGGGTATGTGGGATGTTTGTTATGAGACTAAAATCAAGATTCTCATCACAAGGAGGATTTTTTTTACTTTTTCCTTTTCCTTTTCTTCTTACTGTTTCACTATGAGAAGAGGAATATTAGCTGAACCTGTGGTCTCCAGTTCACCACATACGTAAACCAAACCCTGGTGCTCTAGGCCTTTCACTCAGTGATGGATGCCAATTATCTCTCAGGAAAACTGGAAGAGACACATTGGAAATCTAATTTGAGAGATTGTGGAAAAAAAAAATAAATGACTTTCTGCATGTGTTTTGCATGTGAAATATAAGATCTGACCCTACTGGAAACGCAAATCCCGCCTGTGACTATAAAGGAGCCCCCCAAGCCCTCCAGGGAGTCCATGTCCTGGCGGATTTGGGCACCACTGACAGCCACTTTTTAAAGTCTCCTGTTCTCTGCAGAATCTTTATTTTTCCATTTCTTTAGCATGTAACTATATTTGTGTCCGGTTTTGTCCTGTTCCGCCGGTACCTGAAGTCTTGGTGTCTGCTTCTGTGGTCAGTGTGTTTTCATGGTCTCGCTCATGAGCCAGCCTCCTGGTGCATTTGGCTACACTTGACTATGAGTCACTCATTATCCTTGAAACCATATTTGTGGAGACCCAAAAAGATGGTATCATCTGTCAGAGGGAATTTGCCTTTGCTCTGTCAGAGGCCCAGGGTGTCAGCTGATGTCATAGACCAGGCCCGTGATGAATTGGGTTAGAGTTTGGGCAGAATCGTAGTGAACACTTGGTTACAGCTTTTCAAAGATTCGTGCCTTCCATTTCTTCATGGCCCTTCATTTCCCTTTTCTTTTATCTTGGAGTTCGTGTTTCTATCATTCCATGCCTGCTCTTTGTTTATAACACCACTTGGGTGGCACACAATCTCCAAGAGTTTCCTGAGAAACAGAAGCCGATATTTTAAAGAAAGTCTATCTAAAAAATGTTCAGCTCTCCAGTTTCATGGTGGTTTGGGTTGGATCAGCTTTATGATTTTTCTGCACAGGTTTACTTCAAGTGTGGAACAGAAATGAAGGAATTGTCTCTCTGTCCCTCCAGATAAGCTCTTCCAGTTCCTTCATTTACCTCTAGGCTTAACAAGTTCTATTTTCTTACATTCTGAGGGAAAGAGCTTCCCTAAGAAGATAGCATCTGGATCGCTGACCACCAGGTGATAGCGAGAGCAGCTGGCGTCAACGGAAACCTCCAGACACTTGTGTTGCAAGGATGTATCTGCTGAGCCTTGCCCACTCCCCCAACTAGTTCCTGGAACTCTGGGGGAGCACCTCTGTCCTCCGCCAAAGAGCAAGGCCGTGGTCTTTCAAGCACTAGTCTGCTGCCCTTAATTTGTTGACAAATTAAACTTTCTCAAACTCCGTTTCTTTTCCTTGGCAAAGGGAAACCAAGATGGACATTGAGTATCAAGTGTTGCAGTTGAGAAATCCAGGCATTCTGATTCTTTATCCTCTTTTTTTTTTTTTTACTTGAATTTCTAGCCCGTTTAGCACAGTTACTAGTTTTTTACCTACTTGCGCTAGACCTTTCCTGTACTCCTCTGCTGGATGAAAACTGATCCTTTTATCAGATCCTTTTTTCTTTCCCCTTTTTAAGTTGATTTGATGGTTACCATTCTCTCTATTGTCTGATTTCTGTAGCCATTGAGCATGGGATGGGAAATGGACTCAGCTGGAGCAGTGTTGTTCCAAGGGGTCTTCTTTTCCAATGAGACAGAGGAGAATATGCAAGGTCCCCTTTTCTTTGGGGGGTACAAGAAGTGGAGTGCTTGTACCTCAAGCAGCCCACAAGTGATGTGCCCTCAGCCCAGCCTTGCACTTGTGACACGGTCCTGCCAGACTGCTGATATTTCTCTTGTGTTCCCCTACCCACCCCCAACACCTCCACCCCCTATCCATGACAATCATTTTCACTACCAGGTCATCAAAAAGGGTAAAAGCCAAGAATAAACCATTACTAATTTTTCTCTCTCAAGATTTGTGTGAGAAACACCAGGATTCTGGGAGTTAAGTGTGACCTCACTGTGATGTTTACTTCTGTTTTTTGGATGACCCAGCACTTTTCCAAGTTCATCTCACTAAGGGCTTTCCTTTTCTTGTTTGGTTAGTATTAGCACGTGCACATTTTTGCTTTCTCCCCCTCCTTTTTTTTCTTTGTGGGGAGGGCAGGTTTCTAGATAGTGAGGCCTTGATACTCCTTGATGATGTCATTATTTTACCCAGAATTTCATACCATGCTTTTTTTTTTTTTGCTTTTTTTAAAAAATAATGTAATAGTTTGTTTTTACATCATTTATGCTTTTTTGTCCCCATCTCAGTTGTAGCCCCCTTGGGCTTCCCATCACCAAATCACCCATGTGCCATCACCATAGTCCAGTGCATTTCCCTCCCCACACTGTTTTTGGTCCCATTCCCCACCC